AAAAAAAAAAAAAAAAAAAAAAAAAACACATCATAGTAAAATTAATACCTTCTCAGCTTCGCATCGAAGCTAAAAGGTATAGATTTTACTATGATGTATTTTTTATCTGAGTTTAACATAAAAACTATCAACTTTCACTGGGTCGACATTGCTTATCGATACGCTACAAAACCTAACATTTTTTTGATTTAAGAATTTGTTCTAGCGAAATTGTAAAAATATACTAACCAGCCAATGACTAGTGTATTAGCAAATAGTACACGGGTACTATGTGAAATCTGCCGTTAATGGAAGATAACATTTAATTTTTTCAAATTCTTGCCAATATTTTAGGTTTTTGAATAATCAAAAGTCTCATGTAAATATAAACCTATTCACATCAAATCATTTCATCATGTAAATCACTGTCAGTTGTCTATGTCTCAACTATGCAACTTCTTAATTCTACTAAGTTTATTTTTGAAATTGTTTAATAAAAACTATAACTCAAATTTTATTTTATTTTATTTTGTTAAATATTTTTATTCTAGAATTGAAGGAGAATTTGTGACAGAATGATAAATGGAGATAATAATAACATTACTCACAAGTTTTATTACAAGGTTGGTGAGAGTAATTTCAGTTGAATCAGTTATATTTAAAGTAATAAAACAATAGAAAATTAAGGAGTATCAATTTAATAAATAGAAATAGAAAAAGATAAAATTAAAATACCTGTATGAACTACATTCAGTTTCTCATACTCATAAATTATTATCATATTATAATAATATTATATTATAAAAAATAATATAATACGTATTTGATTTATACAGAATAGTTCACAGAATTATACTTAAAATACTTACTAGGATATAATATTTCTCGGCAAACAGGACAATTATGGTTTTTGCTTTCTACTTCCCAACGGTGAAGACATTCTATATGATATTTGTTACCACATTTATGTTCAGTAAAATCTTTGCCAAGTTCATGCAAACAAATTGGACAAACTTCAAAATAAATCATTTAATAAAATAATGGATTTATATTTATAAAAACTAAATTTTAAATTCTTTCATTATTTATTTGACACTTGAGGGTGAGTAAATTGATTATTTTTAATAATTATATTATTTATTCAATGTTGTGTGAATTTTTATTTAATTGTTATTTTTAGTAATATCATTTAAACAAAAAAAAATTAAACATTGAGATAAACTCATATTGAAATTTTTTACCGACTAAAACGATTAAATATTACCGAGTGCAATGTGTGATACGTTTCTACGACGGTTTCGTAACAGTTCTGATACACATACTTTTCTTATTAAAAAGAATTTTATCCTCTTGAAATTACTAGAAATAGGTTAGGGTAGTAACCCTGACCACTGTTCGGATCATCTGGGAGAGGCTGATAGCGCTCTGCACACCCTCTTCCGGTGCTTGGCGTGGGTCCAGGAGCGGGACTATTTAGAATCCCGACCGAGAAGTCCACGTTCCAAGTCGGGTCCATTGTGTATCTGATGTTTAGGAGCTGGGAGGTGTGGAGGCTCGTCCAGGCGTTCGCCGAATCCATCTTGTTAAAGAAGGAGGAAGCGGAACGCCTGAGACAGAGGCAACCACGCCGCCCGGCACAGGAGGACCTGAGGCACTGGTTTAGGCCGGTGCCTTAGGTTCTTATTTTTTTGTTATGTTTTTTGTCTTGTGAGTTATTTTGCCAGCCCTCCATAATAGTTCCCACTTTGGGATCCGGTTAACGGGAGGGGCCACACCACGTTGCGAATCAGCTCTTGATTAATTTCGGGCTGATTCACAACGTGGTGGTGTGAGTTATAGACGGTATGGGCCACTCTGAAGTAATGCATAACAGCAGTTCCAGGGCACCTCACGATAAGCCGGTCGAGGGTAAAAAAAAAGGGTAATAACCCTAAATATTGCCTTGGCGGAAATTTTAAAAGACATTAGATGGAAGTAGGCTTAATATATATTTTTTAAATGTATAACTTTTTTTTTATATATTTAGCCCTCTTATTGAAAAATCTTGAGCTTATCCAGTGGTATATCCTCAATTTTTGTATTTGATTAATATTTGTTTTTAAATGACTTTTTTTGCCTCGCCACTAAACTTTCCACTGAATAACTTAAATATTGTTATATATAAATATCAAAATATTGTTGAGTAAAATGAAAGATTAAATATTATTTACGAGGGTTTGACATAGTACCTAATAACACTTAAAAAGCGGATACATCGATATACATCGCAATTCCAGACTGATTCGAGTACGCCTGTTTTTAGGTAGGCTAAAAATTTTTCTACTGGTCATGGCCGACCACCTAGCGAACGCGAAGGACCCTGTCTACTTTGTACTTTTGTGTTAGTATGAAATACATAATTTTTAATACTCCATCTTTTAATTAATACACATACCAATATCATTATTATGATTCAGTAACAAATTATTTTGTAACGATATAACATGACAGTTATTTAGATTATAAAGGTTTACATTGCTGTAATATCTTTATTAAATTAAATGAAAGCAAATTCTGATTTTCTAAATAATTTTATGCATTTATGATATAAAAAACAAAGAACTATTAAATTGTTTTACTTAAGATGGGAAGGTTGCATTAAAAGGGATGCGGAAATAGTGGAATCAAAAAAGTCATTGGCGAAAGTTAGCAAAAGATTGCATAATCTTTATTTCGAGGTATGATCTTGAATTCGATATGAAATAATTTTTTTTCAATTACTTTGACTTATTAATAAATTTACATACCATAACTATCCGATTCTGTAACAAATTTATAAACTGATAATAATTATAATAAAAATTAAAAATATGTTTTTTAGATATTAATTTAAAATAAAATATTTAACTGCCCTAAACACTACATAAATGTTAATATTTTAAATAATATTAGCCACAAGTGATCAATTACTATTATACTATATTATTATTTTTATTGTAGAGTTATAAATATGCTGTAATTTATTCATTTAGTTAGGTGTAAATAAATTCTTTTTTTCTTAAGAATTTTATACATTTATGATATAATAAACAAACAGCACTTTTAAATTGTTTTTAAGTTTAATTTTCAATCACTTAGATTATTTAAAATAAGCTTATCATTTTCATTTTTATCAAATATTGTAGAAAAATACATAAACATTAATGAAACATTTCTTTCCAATTATTTCACAAAATAATTGTTTTCAATTATTTTTGAGGGAAAATGTCAAGAGTTATTTTCGAAAGTTAAATAGAAGATTTTAATATTTCTTTACTATTAAATTCAAAATGGTCTTAAAAAATACGAACTGGTTGATAGTTATAATATAATATAATTATAATTACGCAATTGAAATAAACAATGCTGATTATCGAACAGTCAAAATTTTTTTTATTACATACATCAAATCTAGTATAATTAAAAATATTATTAGTTCTTATTTAATTTTTGAAAGTTACCTCTAAAGTCTACTTTATGAAATAATTTTTTTTTACAATAAACTTGATATTTATTATGATTAAAAAAATAAATTAACTTTTATTTTGTACAAGTTAATGAAAAATTATTTAATAAAACACGCATAGCATTGTGATGGTGTCACGACAACATCCACGTAGTAGATTTAATAAATAATATATTAACCATCATATATATTTATATGTTCAACATTACATATTATTTATTGATTAACATACCTTCTTCATTGCTTTTGTCCGAAGCTATAGAAATATTATAAAATTTTATTATTAGTTTATATATTAGGCGTATTTATACTTAAAATATAATTTTATTGAAATAATTATAATTTATGTATATTATCAAAAATAAAATATATTGTGAACTGGAGATTTTATGTCCAGGTTCAGCAACGTGGAATAGTGTTGACAGGAAAGAATTAAAATAATAATAATGTAACAGTCGTTAATGGATTACTACCTTCATGTAAAGTCGCTTTTTATTCATACTAAATTATCATAACAGTTATAGGCATTTGATAGTAATTAATAAATTTCTAAATAAAAATTCGGGTAGCAATACTTTTAAAAGTATTACATAATATATAACATAAAAACACGAACAAAATTTACATATTCCAAATATTTACAAAATAACTTTCATAAAACTAAAATAAAATTTTCATTAATTTTATTTAATTCTACAATAAAAATTAGAATGTTATTAATTGCTTAGAATAAGACGTTTTTGTTATTTTTTTTTTAATTGATTAACATACCTTCCTTATTTTTGTCCAAAGCTATAGAAATACCATAATATTATATTATTAAAAATACTTAAATTGTATTTCTAACGAATTAACTAAAATTTTTTGTTTAAAAAATATTGTATATAATAATAAATTAAAAATATGTACAAAATAACTTAGATTGACGAGGTGAACAGTGTGTTCAGTAAATAAGGAATCAGGCAAATTGTTACAAACAATAAGGACAATAGAAATACGTTTTCTTATTAACCTAATACCTATATAGTTAATTGTCTTGTTGAATAATATTATTTATGACACTCACTGATAATTGAAGAATCCAATACTAAAGAAAAACAATAATTACATTTTTTTTATTAATACCCTCAATTGCAAAAATAATTGTATTATCTTTCTTGATTATTTCAGGCTGATTCACAACGTGGTATAGACGGCGTGGGCCGCTCTGAAGTAATGCCTAACAGGCAAATTTCAAGAGTTACTTTCGAAAGTTAAATAGAAGATTTTAATATTTCTTTACTATTAAATTCAAAATGGTCTTAAAAAAATACGAGCTGGTTGATAGTTATAATATAATATAATTATAATTACGCAATTGAAATAAACAATGCTGAATATCGAACAGTCAAAATTTTTTTTATTACATACATCAATCTAGTATAATTAAAAAAAAATTTATGTTCTTTTTTAATTTTTGAAAGTTCTCTTTAAAGTCTATAGTTAAATAATTTTTTTAGCTTCGATGCGAAGCTGAGAAGGTATTAATTTTACTATGATGTGTTTTTTTTTTTTTTTTTGTTTCTTCTTATAGCTCTCGCTAAGACCGATTTTGATGAACAATATGTCAAAAGATCACAAATCGAAGACATTACCCTCAAAAATTGAAAAAATTTCCTATGTTCCCCGTAAACGGGGGAAATCTCCCAAAAAATTACAAATTTAAAAATAGCTATTTTTTGATATTTTTTNAAATCCCCCAAAAAATTACAAATTTAAAAATCGCTAATTTTCGATATTTTTTCAATTTTTTTTACTTAAAATTGCCATAACTTTTTTAAAAATGACCAAATCAATATAATTTTTTTTTTATAGATACCTTAGATATTGACCTATCATTTTATATATTTTTGTGAACATTTGATCCTTTAACAGCCCACAGAAAGGGTTTCAAATGGTAACTTTTTTACAAAAAATTAACTTTTTCAACTTAACTTTTGAAAATGTTCCGGAAAGACTGACACTTTTATATATATCTTAAATTAAAGCTTATGTAATATACGTTAATTTGAAAAAAAATAAATTGACCTCTGGACTTGTCTTCGTGGTGAAAACGGACATCAAAGTTAAAGAAAAACGTACGATTTCCGTGAAAAAAATCTCGATTTTATATGTTATATTATTTAATTTATATTTTATATAACTTTTGGAAAAATGTATGGATCAATATTATTATTTTTTTATAATAAATATTTATATACCCCTTTCATCTGGCACGCTTTTTTTGTAAATCGGATCATACCCCTTTAACAAGGGGGGTCAAAACTTTAAACATGCGTATTGTTACTACGATATTTTCAATTTAATTTTTGAAAGTATTCCGGAAATACTGACACTTTTAAATATATCTTAAATTAAAGCTTATGTAATATACTTTAATGTGAAAAAAAAAAATTTGACCTCTGGATTTGTCTTCATGGTAAAAATGACTACCGTATTCAAAAATTTGCTATTTTTGTGTTAAAATTCTGGGTTTTGTATTTTATTTTATTTTAAAATACCTGACAAGGGGAGTACAGATTTTCATAAATATTATATAAATTAAATTTAATATAGCACAGATAGTTAAACTTATTTAAATATGTTTGTTTCTNTAGAAAGTTAAACTTATTTAAATTTGTTTGCTTCTTTAAAGTCGAGAAAAATAACTTTGAAATTTGAATTAGCTTAAATAGCCAATTTTTTTTATCAGGCGGTAGCAACGTACGGTTGCCGAGTTGGTAAAATTTATGATTTACACACTTGGGGTACGAGGTTCCAACCTGCGTATAGCAATGAATTTTTTGCATTTTTTCTTAATTCTTTTTTAGTTAGTATAAATTTTTAACTCGTTTGATTTTTATCTCATTTAGATTCAATAACTTCAATAAAGATCAAGGATCCCATCACTTTAGCCGCCCCTTGCAAGAAGAAATTTCTTATTCGCATTAAAATTATTTTACTATATTTTAAGTTTTATCTTCGATACAAAGCTGAGAAGATATTTTTTTGTGACTATCATTTAAATAATGATTGTTTTTTCTCCTGAATTAACAATTGATTTTTACAAATATAATCAAATTTTATAATACGCTCAATTGAGTAAATCTTTTTAACAATTTTGATTTGATTGGTACATTTAGTTAAAGTAAATTATTTATTATATACAATCTATAGCAAATTAGTTTACGTCTTGGTTCATACCCACCCATTACAAGTTAGATTATGTTATGTTTCATTACCCCCTCCCTCTATAGGCATTTTTGACGGACACCCCTGTAGCGTTAATATTAAGTAAATATGTTAAAGTGGCAACGGCGGCCACTAATTGACGTACACTATTTCAATGTAATGTGTATGTTTACACGTACGTTTATCAGTTAACGTTATCAGTTCACATGAGGTTTAAATTTCCCTTCAGTAGATAGCATCGTAGGAGGAGAACAACCATTTGGCTACCTCCACCACCGCTGACATGAAGTTATAGTGCACATGCGCACTTTAAACCGCCATTTTAATTGACCTTAACACCCCCACCTAAGTCACCTATTACTCCCACCATCGTGAGACCACTCCACCCTTTCCCTCCTCTATGATAAGACCACGCCTCTCTTACCCCCACCATCGAAATACCATGGCCACTATATGACCTTGACAACAGTCATTACACCCACCATCGAGAAATCACGCCCTCTGTATGACACGCCCCTCCCCCCAGGCCACTGTTAAAAATAACATTGTTTTAATTCTCATAAAATTTTCTATTTGATGATTCATTCTAGTCAACGAAGGAGTAATTTTGGCGAATAGCAGAAAAAATTCCCAACGAATTTTTTTTTTTTTTGTTTTAATTAGGCAATTGGTGGATTATTCCAAAAGCAACATCAACTCTTATTTCTTTAATTATATCTTTAATGATATAATTAAACTATATCTTATATCTATATATTTAACTATATCTTTACTGATTAGTAGTTCTTTGATTTTAAAATATAATA